TTGGTGTTCAAACACGAGTGAATCTTCATAAGTAGATATTTACAGACATGCATATCATGGGATTGGTGAGATACACATATCCAAAATGTTTCTAAAAAATAAATAGGTTAGCAATTATTAACTTTATTCATTGAATTATACTCTTCTTAAAAGAAGAGCAGCAAAGTTTGTTCCAAACTTTTTGTGTTTCTGATAAATTAAGAGGTGATTTACTTGTATTGATTAAAAACAAACAAAAGTGTGAACTTGCTGTAGATAAGCTGGTAAAGCTCTCACTTACTTCCACTTAGGTAATACCACACTCATGAGTTTCTCTTGCCTGCGTGAGCAGATATGAGAAAACAAATGTTTTAATTATGCACCTGTAAGGTATAGCAGCAGAGCAAATGAGATTTATCGTTTAGAATTACTTTTCCCTTAAGTGTTCAAGCCAAACAGCCCTTTGCAGTCTGCTCTTAATCTAATTCATTGTACAATATGAACTTAGTTCTACATATTTTATGTGCTGAGTTTACTTTCCTGAAGTTTTGAGAAGCATTCACTTGATCACATAGTATCAGGATACACATGTCTATACTACACATACTGATACAACACAAAGTAGTTCATTAGGTACAATAAAAAGAGCTCTGCTTTACAAAGTGACATTTCAGAAGTCAGTAACATACTGAATGAACAGATTAAACTAGACAAAAAATGGAAATTAAAGAGTATACATTTTGTACAAAAAGACTGTGCATAAATTACTATGTATGCAAAGATTACAAATGTCAATGTAAATGTTTATCACTTGACGCAATATGCATATATTGAAGATCTTGGGCTGCAATAAATGTTAATTATTTCAATGACATACATGCAGGCCTTCCATTCCTGTAATTTGGTAACATTTGTTAAACCGTGTTTAATAAGTTAAGTTGGTAAAGTTATTAGGAAACTACAACTAAGTTGTTTTACTAAAGCAGCAGGCATTTTGTTGGCTGTTTCAATTAAGCAGGTCATTGAGATGAAAATAATATATTTTTTTTGTTTTGTTTTGTTTTTGTTTTTTTTCCCAGTGAATAGACTGTTTGCCATTTTGATTATGTGTTTGGAATGAATCCAACAAGGAAAACAACAAAAACAATAGATATGTATTTATTTATGCAAACATGGAAGGTGGTTTGGTCAGATTAGACTGAAACTTAACATCCAAAACCACACATGTGAGCAGAAAACTAACACTTCTCATCAATCCTAAAACACAGCACAGTAAACCATAGTAGTGGCAGCATCATCATCATGACTTGACACTGAGGCAGATGTTTACCATCTCCCCAAGACAAATGCAGCCAAAACATCAAAGAGCCCAAAAATGTCAAAAACCTGAATATAATTGAGTCTGTGACAAGACTTGATATTCACAGACAACGTCCATTCAGTCCGATTGAGCTTGAGCAATTTTTCAAAGAGAAAGGGACAAACATTCTCCAGATGTGCAAAGTTGGACTGGGATTTCTGTTTTACAACACTACACAGGGACACTTGACCAACCGGTGACTGACGGTCATCGATTATTTCACCTGTGACAAATACTAGACCTTTCAAAATAAATAAAATAAGAAAAAAAGTGTAAGGACATGGCATTTTAAAAAATGTTTTCTGTCAGACAATGACAGCTATTTCAGTAGAATTTTCCTGTGAGCACTTTCTAAAAACTCATCAAATGTTTTGAGAAGCAGGTCAAGTTTCAACAGTACGCCCAAAGCTGATTTTTCCATCCCAGCATTTTCAAAAACCCATTCTGGCAACACTGAAGATAATGTAAAAGGACCTGTGGCTGTAACTGCAGAAAAAAGGTAGTTCTACTGTACAAACTATTGACTCAGGAGGACTGAATACAAATCTACTTCACATATTTTTATTTGTAAAAGAAACTTTGAAAGACATGCATCATGATTTAGAATCCCTATAAAATAAATTGAAGCTTTGTGTCTGTAATACTTTGAAATGGGAAGAAGTTCAAATGACTTTTGAAAAGTGCTGCATGCATCATGTTTTCTTTCTTGTTCTGGCTCCAGTCTGTTTTAGGGGTTTGGTCCTCTTTGTCCACTCCTGTCGTTTGTTACCTATGCTCTCACCTGTCACTGATTACTCATCTGTTTCCACTCACCTAATCAATTCTGCTAGCATGCATCTTCCTCTGTTCATCCACAGTGGGTTTGTGTTTTTCCTATCCTCTTTTTGCTGGATTTTTTGTTTTTGGTGGTTGGTTTTATTTTTGGGGATTTTTGCATTTTCTGCTGCACATTTTATTTATTCAGGATATTTATGCATGCCATCTGCTCACCAACAGTCATCTCGTTTTGCATTTTGATCTTCTACCCTGCACAGCATGACACTAAGGGAATTTTAAACACTAAGTACAGTAAGAACAGCACTTATCTGTTGGTTTCTAACTTATGTTGCTACATGTGACAAATACATTACCTAAAGCTTAGAGGTCTTTTACATTTACTGAGATGTCAACATTTTCTGTTATCTGCAAACAATAAATCATAATTACTTCCTAGAAGTTCTCCTCTGCAGTATGACGTTAAGTTGGCCCAAACTTGTGACATCCACCTTGTGCATAATGTGCTATCCGCAGGAATAAAGGCGTGCAGAATCACTCCACTGCCACTGAATATTTATTTAGGAATGCAGGTTTTGTTATCAAGGTCAAACAGTCTTAACTCTGTCTTCGTGGCAGTCATTTTTGTCCCCTGAGTTTTGCGAATGGAGGAAAATACAAAAAGAGAAAAGAGGGGCATGCAAAGACACCAACTTTTTGTTTGCTTCTTCCAATACGGGCAGAAAATCAGTTGGCAGAAGAACTTTTTAAACTTTTTCTTTTCTCAAACACCCCATCATGTTTACACTTTTCTCATTCGTCTTTCCCAGATAGTGTTTGTTGTGAATGAATTTCTGGCATAGAATTGATGCCGACAAGGAGAGAGGAGATCTTTTTTGGAGATTTAAATCTCCTCTTGTGTAATAACTCTCTGTTATGTTTATCTACAAAGCGACGCAGAAGGAAGTGATGAATGCCTGTGATACACCCTGACGTCCGTAGGCTTTCTGATGCTGCTGTGGGTGTTTGTTCACTCAGAGGGAGGATTGTAGTCTAGTGCTTTAATAATGCCTTCTTTTTTTTTTTAATCTACTGTTTTATTCTAATCCTTTCATTTCTTTATGCCTTTGGCCATTAATGTTTTCTCTTTTTAAAGTTGTTTCTTTTCATGTGTTAAAAAAAAAAAAAAAAAAACTGAGGGTAAAGAATTTTTTGTTTTAATTTTGTGTAGCAGAACAAACTTTTCTGTCTCTGTACTATTTCAGAGCAGAACTCATACAAACACAGTGAAGGACAGTGAACACAAAAAGACTGAAATTGAGATAAACCACAGAGAAAATTAGTTTAACACATGAGATTTTTTGTTTTTCTTTAGTGAACATGAATGTTTTTTTAAATTTGTATTTGTAGAGAAACCTCTGTTGCCTCCTACTGTTGAGTGTGGCGGTGCCATCTTGTGTAGGGAAATATTGTGGTATAAATGGTTGGAACTGGGGTAATAATTGGGGACAGGGTAGATGTTAATTGTAGATTGCCAGGCAATGTGTTGGTGTCACCTCAAGAAACTGGAGGTCTTTCATGGAGCCATTGTCTCCATCTCGGGAGGTGTGGCTAGCAGCAGCTTGTTTGCATAAAAGTGACAGAGCCTAAAATGGCTCACTCTGAAAGGTACATAGACAAAACTGAACAGGTGAAATCTCAATATCTGAGAATGATTTTGTGCAAAATTGTAATGAACATGTTTTGTAAAACCCATAGACACATGCTAACCTGTTTAAAAGAAAGCTTAATCGGTATCCTTTAATCTGAGGGTTTTTGAAACCAAGCTTAAGTTCCCTGACTTTGGGTTTGTGGAATGCAAATGAATAAAGCATAATAAATAAATCTGATAATTCTTTGCACACAAAGTTGTCACACAAAGTGAATTTAAAGTTGAGTTTCGTTTCAGTGGGGTTTTTTTCTTCAAGAGAACAGAAATAGAATAAAGTATACTGGACACTGGACTACGAGAGTCAAGCAGAGATGTAAGGCCAGACAATGAATGGAAAGAAAAATCTCCTGAAGAGCAACGTTTGCTGCAATACTGCTGCAATACCTGAACAATTTCCCTTTCCCTTTGTTGTTGATGGGTTTTGGTTTGAGCCTTACAGATGAGCGCAGGAGCTTCTCTGATACCAGGGTTACGGCTGACAAGATGACAATTTTTCTGATAGACGACAGATCAAAGAGGTTTAACGTCGCAGTCAATCAAACTTGGAGGGTGAAATGATGAACCGAGGCGAAAACCCGACTCCACAGGCCTCTGCTTTCATTTTGATAAAGTCTAGAGGCACAAAGTCACGTCCAGCTGGAAAGTTAAAAATCTGGACATCTGAAAGAAAAGCTTGCAGATGAGTTGGCTGTTACAGTTTGAAGGATTTTATTTAGCTGTTGTGTATTTCCTGTGTTTTCTGTATTTTTTATTTTTTTTTTCACTTATTTTCATCTGGGTTGCTTCTTAGGTGCCAAGGGAAACAAAGTCATGATTGGAAGAAAGCTGCAACTGTGAGTAGCAGAACCTTCTGGTAACCACATCTACATTTCCTGTCAGTAATGTGTCTATGTAGGAGAAAAAAAACCCTTCAGTTTTGGTTTTGAAGGAAAATTTCACATTTGGAGACTAAACGGTGAATAAGTTTGAGTGGACGGTTTACACTCGAGGGGATTTGACTGAAAACTCTTTGATGTAGTGCAGTGAGGAATACACTCTGTGACAGATGAGAACAATGCCTACATTTTGATGTATGATGCATATATTTGAAATGGACAATATCAATGTTAGATGAACTTTAAATCTCTAAAAATTACCAGTAATCATATAAATAAAATGTTTCAAATATGTGCAGCGGTAGAATTGCACATCTGTTTGCAGCCATTTTTACAAGCGAGTGTAAACATTGAGTTTGGGGGCGTGGCCAGCAGCAGCTTATTTGGATCTAAAGTGACTAGAAGCCCTAAAACAGATCATCCTGACAGGAGCTCAAAGTAGGCCAACTTGACCAGACTGAGGTCTGATCATCTGAGAATGATTTTGTGCAAAACATGAAATGAATATGTTTTGTATAGTCTTTAAGAAAAATAATAGAATTTCTTAAATTCTAGGTTACGTTGCAATATCTACAATAACACTTTGAAGAATTTGAATTAGTTTAAATTAAAAATACCTTATTGAACCCAAAGGGAAATTAAATATGAGTCATAGGAAGATATAATTTCCCTTTGTGATTACTAAAGTATTTTTCTAATGAATTTGAAGAATTTCTTTCCTGATATTCTATTAGCCAAGTAATAACTATGAGATCACACATCAGTGGCAGAAATGAGCTTCCATACCAGTGAACTGTGATCAAATTAAAGATTTTAGTTTTTTCCAAGGTCAAACCATCTTTCTGAAATAAAATATTGTATTTTAAAGCTTCTTGCATCCTATATCTTTACATAATCAATGAAAATGGAGAAACTAACTCACAAAAGCCTTTTGAAATAAGTGTGTCTTGCATGTAGGAGCAGCACAGAATAGCTTCAGTTTGCTCAGATCAATGCCTGTCGCTCCTCTTTTTCCAGTTGGTGGCCTTTTTGCCAACCTCCACCTTAAAATAGCCCATTGCCATTACGGCTCCTGTGTATCCAAGCAGATGAAGTCCCAGCCGAGCGCTCTGTCTGCACACTCGAGCATAGTGATAACTTCAGACAGTTAGCTGGCTCTGCCTTCTCCTCATGCCGAGCTGCAGAGCTAGCCTTTGCCCCAGCCACCGCTGCTGAAGCTGTAATGACCGGGGACCTTTAAACCTCAGGAAGACGGACGCCTTCAAACACTTCACAGCTATAAAAAAAAAAAAAAAAAAAAAAAAAAAAACCAGGGGGGAGGACAGGAATAACAAAGCATGATTCGACTTGTGTGCGCAGGTGGGAAAACATGCCAAAATCCGACAACTTTCACCGTGTCCTTGGCAACCGTTTCAGCAGTCAGAAGATGACTGGTGTCTGGTGAAATGCTGTTTGTTTCTGATCACTTGTAAAGAAATAGGAAAACCAACAAAGACAAACCCAAGGTTGCAGGTGTTTTCTTTCGATCTGTCTGACTGACCTGACGGATCACATCAGTCTCAGCTTAAAGGCATGTTTTATTCATGAAACACTCAGCCATCTGCAGCTGCTCCAGGGGGCAGACATGGATCACTGTGGGAAAACTTTAGACTCAAACTAAAATCTGAAAAATGTAGTACTGAAGCATGATATGAACTTAATGGCAGTGAATTTTTACTTTCCTTGCCATCACAAGAACTTGATTTTCTTGTGTCCTTTTAAAGAAAAGAATTTAAGATTTCTGATTTGTTGCTTGAACATTAAGCACATTTTTAATTTGTTTGGTAAATTTATTTGTAAGTTGATAGTTGGTACAGTTAAACTCAAAGTTAATAAATTGAGGTTTAAATCAATTTAACCATCAATTTTCTTCATACTCAGCAATATTGACATTATGGAAAGGACTCACCAAAGTCTGGACCTTAATCTGATAGAGAGAAGCTAAATATTAAGATGAAGGTAAGGAGCCCCTCCAGGGTCACAGATATGCTTTCAAAATACCAGTGGAAACATTAAAAAGTTGTTCAACTACTTAAAAAAAGTTAGATTTTCCTCTTTGCTGTCAAAGATTTTTCTACCGATTGACAAAGGCATACAGCCAATACATGAGCACCATTTAGTTCCCGTGGTGCTGATTGGCTGAATCAGCAGCCAATCAGCTGCTGATTCAGCTGCTGTATCAGCTGAATTAGGAAAACTGTTAGTTTCTGCTGTAACGTTAAGATGGTTTCCACTGTGCAGATTAATGCATACTAAGATATATTAGCTGTTTTGAACTATTAAAATAGGTAGTTTTAAGTATTTGCAAACAGCAAATACCAGGGATCCACTGAAAATGTTGGCAAGAAATTAATTTGATGAAATGTTGAGAACAGAAAAAGATACATTGCCAGTCTAATTTAAATGGAATTTTTTTCAAAATTAATAAAGCTGAAAATAACTTTACATCTAAATCTGTCAAAATTATTCAAAATAAATAATTTTGAGCTCAACATACATATACAACCTAAAAACCAAAGTCCAATTTGTTCCCTGAACCACGACTCCAATGCAACAATAAAGGTTACTTGATGAACTGTCAGGTTGAGCTGTCTATGTAAGTGTGCAGTTGAAAATCATCATTTGCATGAATAATGTTAAATATTGCTGAATTGGTTAATCCAGTTTTAGAGTATATGGCAAAATAAAGTTGAGTTTATCTATTAGGCTTTTTTATCTTTCTGACATAATTTAAGTTTTGAGAAGGAATATTGAAATTCCAGTTCAAAGTATATTTAAACGAGGATCCTATTATTGTTGCAAAATATAACTCTTGTAAGCGCTAAGGCAGGTCTAATACTTATTTCCCTTTCTTTTGGTATGCACAGATGCTACTTCAGATGAGTAGTGAATGTGCCCTATGGTTTGTTTCACCAACATTCAACTGACAAACTGTTGCTGTGGTAACCTAATCCCCTAACAGTCCCAGAAAACAAAGTTTGAGAGCTGGCTATTATTTTCAGCCAACCAATCTACACAACCTTATTTGACAGCATCCTAATTAAATTTACTAGGCAGATGATTATGTGGGCATGTTTATGAAATTGAGTCTGTCTTCCTGTCAGATCGTGACTGAAGTACTCAAATTACTATAATCAATTTATGGTTGTTTGTGTATCCAATAGCTTTTATCATGTAGCCCTTCTTGCTTTTTACCTGCTGCATTTGTTTTTCCTTCACTGACAGGCCATGATTCTTCTGGCCTTCAGTGAGCCTGCTCTTCCTTGTCTAACACATTAATGTCAGCAGCTTGCCCCTTGAAACGTCCTAACTGAAATGTTCCAGAATGTTATTGGCATAGAGAAGCTACAAACTTGAATTTTCTCTAGAATTATATTAAAGGTGACACATTATTCTTCCTTGTAAAGGTTAGGATTGGTTTATGGGTGATATAAAACATGTTCATTAGATTTTTGTGCAAAATAATTCTTAGATAATGAGATTTTAGTCTGGTCTGTTCTACTTTGATCTTCCTTCAGATCAAGCTGTATTAGGACCTCTGTCATTTTAAATCTAAATAAGCTGCTGCTGGCCACGCCCCCAACTCAAAGTTCAACAAGTCAACAAGAAAACACTTGTCTTTTTTCCAGCAGCCATCATACAGTGCATACAGCAGTAAAACCAGCTGACCAAACATGCTGGAGCTTAGCTTGGGTTGCTAGGTGATGGGCTGAACTTGCCTGGGGTTGCCAGGTGAGAGGCAGTGCCTGCTGATGTGTGACGTTACATTTGGAAGGTTTTTGAAACGGGTCATTTTCTAGACACCAAACATTAACTTATTGCCAAAAAAATGGCTGTGTGGTTTATTTAAGCCCTACTGCTTCTACTGTTTTTAGAAGCAGTAGAAATCCAAATGGAAGTACAAAAACATGCAAAATGTGCATTTCACATTTTAAGTCAAAGTTAGGCTAAAAAATACAAAACTTTAGTATAAAAATGACACGGTCTATTTATTCAGAGTGTTGTAAGTTGTATATTCAAGATATACAACCTGGCCAAATTGTATGGTATTTGCATCAACACAGGCAAAGTAATCTGAAAATGTCAAAAAACACATCCTTTTTTCTTCCTGCTTTTCCTTTGCTCTAAAGGTTTATGTTTTTTGGGGTTTTTTTGGGAGCTTCTTTCTGTGCTCCTTGTTTCACAAAACAATCCAGAGGGAAAATGGATGACATGATGGTCTTGGCCTAATCTCTGCTCTCGGATTGAAGAGCTAAATTGTTGAGTATGACAAGTGTATTTGTTGTAATTGACTGAAAAGGAGATGCCATATTCCAGCAGAGTTCAAAGGAGACAAAAAAAATCTGTAATTCTGATATGACTGTGGAGTAGATAAGAGGTCTTGGAGTAGAGGAAACATGTCATTTCCATTTCAAGAGCTGCTAAGGAACAGAAAAACATCATTCAGAAACCTGAGACGGTGAATGGTACACAGCTGTAAAGAGAAAAAAAAAACATCTTTTAAAGGTCATTTTGAATACTCTAAATCATCTTTAAGAGATGGAAACCTGAAATCAGCTAACACTAATTTACTTTTGCTAAACAAAGCCAGAGATGTTTGGAGGAAAGAAGTTTATAAATGTTTTTTGTTAAGAAATCCTAATGTGAAGGTTAAACTGTTCAGATTTTGATGTCAGCTGTCAATGCATGTTCTTGTGGAAAAGATCAAACTGCAGTACTTGCTGAATCATCAGTCTGATGCTCTGAATCAGGGATCTGTAACTCCAGTTCTCAAGTACCATTGTCCTGGATACATCCCTGCTCCAGCACCTGAATCAGTTTTACAAACGTTAATGACGTTTGGTCATTAACCATTTATTTGCTTCAGGTGTGATTCAGGTGTGGAGTACCTCTATTGAAGGAATTACTTCAATAGAGGTAGCAATTTTTTTTCTGAAATATTGCTATTGTTTCAATAGTTCAATAAAACAGCAGGTGGATGTGTAGACAGATTTAGTTATGGGTGAGTAATTGCAATTAAGGTGTAAGGTGTTCTAACGTTTATCCTGAGTTTGAATTCACATGTTTAAGATAATTTTGTTTAATGAGAAAATCAGGGTTAAGTTCTGGTGTTTGGCAATAATTAAAATACTTGCTAAATAAATGGATCTAACATCAAAGAACAGAAGCGGTAAGGGTGAACATGTTTTCTTTAAGGGGGACATATTATGCAAAATTCACATTTTGCACATTGTTGTACTTCCGTTAAGGTTTCTGCTGCTTCTCAAACAGCCCAAGCGCTCAAAAATGCCCTGACTTTGGTATCTGGAAAATGAGCAGTTGCAAAAACTTTCCGAATGCATCGTCACAAATCTGCAGGCACTGCCCCTCCCTAGCAATATATATATATATATATATATATATATATATATATATATATATATATATTTTTTTTTTTTTTTTTGTGTGTGTGTGTGTAGGTGTGTGTGTGTGTGACAGAAAACACTTGCTGCATTCTTGCTGGTTGTGGAGGATGCTCTACTTCTGCTTTTCTAAGATGTACAGTTATAGAATTGTACATCGGCCTGCACCCATCTTCACATGCAAGTGTAAGCAATGGGGGCGTGGCCAGCAGCAGCTTATATGGATTTAATGTGGTAAGAGGACCCATAGCAGCTCATTTGTAAACAGCTCAAAATAGGCAGAACTAAACAGACTAAAATCTTAATACCTAAGAATGATCTTGTTAAAAAAATGTAGTGAACATGTTTAGCATAGTCCATAGGCCAATCCTAACCTCTTCAAGGAAGCATAAGAGATCACCCTTAACTGTAGAATCTGTTGTCTACAATATTGCCTTCTACTGGTCCAGCTTTGATATTGCTGTGTATTTGAAAGAAGTCTGGAGACCATGTAGAAATATTGTTTTTCTATTTTTAGAAATGGAAGAAAATCTGGTTTATTAATGTGAGGCTTGCGCTCACTTTTTCTACGTATTCTGACACTTTTTATTACATTTAGCTTTAAAATATCCTGGTTATACTCCTGATTTCACCACTCCAATTATATATTGAGCTTGTCCAGTACCAGAGGGAGTATTACTTACCTAGGCCAACTGTTGTAAAGCT